AAGGAAGAAATAGGAAAGGGGGAGGTGGGGCGAGTGGAGGGCCGGATGTGGGTTGCTGGGTTTATGGAGGGAGAGTGGGTGTAACTCCATCTGTCTCAGCCATCGACTTTATTTGTGTGTTATTTGTTGTTGCCAATGTGCAAAAATGGCTCTAATTGCAACCAGACCAGCTAGAATGTGCCAGAATGAGGAAGGAAAAAGCCAACAAAAAACAGCACGATTCAAGCCTTTGTTCTGGGCCATTAAAGAGAAGCAATAGAATGACCGTATCAAGCAAAGATAACAGAGATGCAACAAGATGCAATTTCCCCGGTTTCTTGGACCCCACCCTGGCCCATTTTGGACGTGCCTGTCCATGACAGCCCCAAAAAGCTTTTGTCCAAGCTAGGAAATCATCTCTTGCCCAGAAATCATCTCTTGTTGTCATCGCTTCCCAGTGCCTCTCCACACCTCCCCATGCTGACCTATCCTTCACATCACTGTCAATGCCTCGGCCAAGGTGGCCTCTGCAAAATGCAAATGAGATCACCTCACTTCCTGTGGAAGACCTGCTCAGGTTTACCATCCCCCAAGCCATGAAGCAGGATGTGCTCACGCTGGTGAATGGGAAACTCCTTTGCTCTAGAAGTGGCCCCTTAACCTATCATAAAATATTCAAGAGGAATTAGAGTAAGCAAAACCTGCTAAGGCTCTCATGATGCTTAAAATAAAGGCTAATTCATTAGCCTGCCCACTTTGACTTATTGCTTCCTTCCCCAACCCGCGTCCCTGTTGGCCGGCTTTCCCTCTCTCTAACTTGGCAGGCTTTGTCTTCACTGGCAGTTCCCCTGACTTGTGAAGCTCTCCCTTACCGTGGACTTGCCTATTGTCTAGTCCTCCCCGAGGCCTTAGCTTTCTCTGACCTTCCAGTGCTAAACGTGGTTCTCCTTGTCTTCTAAGCCCCAACGTGTCCTAAGATACTGAGTGTCTCTTTTTGCCTCGGCTCCCTGGCCACGGTCTCCTATGGTTTAAGTGGTCTCACTGCCCACCTCTCCCACACCAACCCCTCTCAAGACTCACGGCTAAGGGATCTCTCTGCTCTCCCCCAGGGCCATTTTCTCTGGGAGGAGCCCGAGATGCTTCTGAACCATCAGACTTGACCCAACCAGCTCTACGTTTAGAAAACGCCCACAGACGCGTCATGCAGTCTAAGCTGAGACCACCGAGTGGGTCAGCGAAACCAATAGACCCCAATAGGTTTAAAATCCATGTTTGAAACAATGCTTCGGGGAGTTCTCTGCTGGACTGGGGACCGAACTGGAAGGGACCAGTTACCAATGGCAACCAAGTCCATCCCGATTCACGGCCACCCAGGAGTGCAGACCTCCGCGCTGTAAGGGTTTCAGTGTCAGACTTTTCAGAAATAGATTACCAGGCCTCTCTTTTCAAGCACCTCTGGGAGGACTTGAACTTCCAGCCTTTCACTTAGCAGCCAGATACCTGAACCCTTTGTGCCACCTAGGAATTGCTGCCTTAAAAATTAGGCTTGCTTTCCCTTCTCTGTTACCAACTTCTTATTGAAGAGTTACTTTTCTTTTTCAATATTTCCCCTGGAGTCCAGCGGGTCAGTCCTTGCTCTCCCTGTGCAGGAGGGCGATGGAGCAAAGATGGAGGTGGGCTCCTGGGGGGCAGCTTGCTATGCCCCTTCCTGTGCCCAGGAACCAGGTGACTTGGCTTCTGGCACGCAGCCCAGACCATCTGGGTTGCAGGGAGTGATGTCCAAAGCTGGCCTGATGTAAATCACATACCCGTACTGGTTCTGCTGGTGCAAGTCGGCAAAAATCTGGGCGAGGGCCTCACTCTCTCCCTTAGCCATCAGCTGCATGAGGCTCTCGCTGGGCTGGGAGGCTGGAAGGTCCTTCTGGGGAAAAAGCCAAGTTAAGCGATTAAGACCTGAGGTTAGGACCACGTGTTCCTAAGACCCTGAAGTGCTGGGACT